GTCGTGTGAAACGACAAGTTTTTACTGCTCGTGAGAAACTGAACATAACATCACTTGGTATTTTTTATGAACGGATATACTATTTCGTTATTCTCAGACTCAGACCAGCCCTTATTTGTTACGGAGTTCTATTTTTCAATGAAGGTGCATTTTACTTTGCCTCGCTGATTTGATAATTGATAATTTTGCATTCATATTTCAATGATTTGGCGAATTGCCCCTGACTCTTAACTTGTTGATGTCGAGGTTGAATAAGAAGGGTTTTCTTTTCACGATTGTGGGGAACAGGAAATAGTGTCCTCTTGCTCAGGCAAAGGGGAAAATGTGATATCCAGCTTATCTGCCACAAAGGATGGGGTGTTTTCCTGTTATTCAGGTGAAAGTAAGGGGTTTTGCGACAGTGTAGTTGAAGTGGCTGATTCGGTCTTATTTAGAATATCCATTGATTTCTGTCCTGGAGCAGAGGCAGTGAAACCCCTCATTTCATCAACTTACTGCTCAACATTACTTACTGCTACTTTTGAAGCCTGTTTTTTCCTTTAATCTTTTAAACCTATAAATGTGTAAACAACCTCATTTGAAAATGTTTATAAATATGATAAAACCCATCTCAATCAATGTCTTCTTGTATTTAAGAAATATTATTCAAATAAACATTCAAATAAGTCCATCAGGTGTCACCTACAAGTATAAGGAGGTTAAAATGATAACAATAACTTACAATATCAGTACTATTTTTTTCTTTTCAGGCATGAAGGAGATGATACTGTCTGAGAAACTACACATTGTATAATTTAGAAATAAAAAGGCTTCATATAAATTTATGTTTTGAGTTTTACTTTACAGACTTAAACATTTTGTTGTATTAACATTCTAGCTTTAAAAACTGAGCATCAAGTTGTTTTACTGGTGTTAAATTAAAACATATAGCCTGAAATAAAAAAATCTTTATAATTTCTCCTACTTGCCCATACACCTATGGAATGCTGGATTGTCGTTCCCGCAGGGGATGTAGTCGTGTCTACACGACACTTGAACGTAATGTCTATTAATTCTCCACTTTCAGTGTGTGTAAACCTTAACACCTGGTCACCGTGTTTTCCCAATTGATAATCGACATAACTTACTGTTGACCGCACCAACTTATAACTGCAACGCTGCAAGTGACTACTGAGAACTGAGTAGAAATCCCCCGCAATGAGCCCCGCGTTCTGATTGGTCGAGAGCTCGATGACGTCACAAAGATGGCGGAAGGAGTAGGGCAAAAAGTGTTTGGCGGGAGCTGGGATGGAACCTGGTCCGGTGGCATGAGAAGCCGAAACGCTAACCACTGAGCCACGGCGCTCGATGTTAGACTTTGTGTCGAGGTCGTATACGAGGGCCGGCTTCGAGGGCCGGCATCGGGGGTCGGTATCGTGGATGTTTTTTTTTCTTTGGCACGAGATGATCGTGGTTCTGCTTTTCTCCACCAGAGTGTGCTGATATCGTCTGTTTTGGGAAAAAAAGGTGGTTCCGTCCTTCTCCACCAGAGTGTGTTGATACCTAGGTCGACTGGTCTCTAAACCTATTGTTTTTGTTTATGGTTGTATTGAATCGATTGTGGTTCTGCTTTTCTCCACCAGAGTGTGTTGGCACTGTTTGATGTATTTTGTGACCATCTCAGATTATACAATATGTTATTGTTATAGTTGTACCAACTTGGATGTTTCATAGTCCTACCCTCAGGCAAACTAATAATATTTCTGGTATATTATTTGCCTTGACTTATATGTTATTATCATAGTGATACCAACTTAATTATTTCATAAGCGTAGGTTAAACAATCAATGTTGATTACAAATTTGCAATAATATGTTTAACAAAATGTTCTATACCATCTTTTATATTTTACTGTAATCTAGACTGTTTACCATTATATGTTACTAACTGCACTAGTTTTGCTAATATAATTAGTTGTTGTTGTTATTATATATATATATATATATATATATATATATATATATATATATATATATGTAATTGATCAAACTTGAGAGATATCTGGGTTTTAAGGAATGAAACTACAGCATACATATACAAATAATGTTTCTTTTTATTTAAAAAATAGTAAATTTATGCTTCTACCAGACATCCCCGTACATTTCAATCGAAACCCCCCTTTATTAAAATTTTCAATCTGCTCGTCTGAGAGACGGGTCACAAAACGCTGAGGGAGAAATGTTATTGCTGGTCCTCCACCATCAGGTAAGGTTATCTCAGCAACGACTGATGGTCCAAATTTGCTGTCCGTTCTCTTCATAGATGTTATAGGGTATCCTTCTTGAGCAGTGAGCTCCTTACAGCTGTATTTTGGAGGTCCCTCATACTTTTCCAATTCAGCCAATTCACTGAGCATCTTATCCATATTCTGTAACAATTTGCAAACTAATGTATTTCTGTATTTAGCCATTTGTTTTAGAGATAAAAAGTTAGTACCGTCTGAGCAAGAGTTAATTCTTTCATGACAGTCTTGGTGTAAGCATGATAATTATCGGTAGTAGCAGTTGTAATGTATAGGTTATAAAACTAAGAATTGTTTGGTACCTAATCAATATGTTAGAAAATATATATAAAAAACGTGTACGTTTTGCTGATCCACTTGTTACCAATGTCTACTTATTGCCTGATGAAGAAAGGAAATCAGTTTGGGAGATGGTGGCTAGAGATAGAGTTCGATTTCAGAGAAGAATAAAAGAAACAGGTGAAATAATTTCAAAGGTACTTATAATACCTCGTAGTTAATAATAATATATCAATAATATAAAGGACAGGACAAAATTGAAGTTAAAGTTAAAGATCGAAATATTAATAAAATTTGTTCAAATTACTTACGTAAAATTTGCGTGGAAGTGCTTGAAGAGATTGTAGCAGTAGAACGATGTAGCTTCGAAGTAAGACGTGTACTGTGAACTGTGGTGGTACGATCGTTTATATAGTGGGGAGTTGGCGCGCTTTCCGGTTGACCAATCCCGTGGTAGAACTGGGTGTGACGTACACTATATAGCGCGCGAGTTTCAAATGTTGCGTCAATAGCTGTTCACTAGTTTCTCTTTGAGTGTACGAGTGGCTGTTTGATGGTGAGTACATATTTGTAGTTTTTACTATGGAACCTATTCATATCGTTAGAAGCCATGATACGTATGTTAGAAAATTTAGAATGTCTGGAAGAAAAACCATTTTTAAATTTAATACACCACCGGCTGGTTATAATGAACTTGATTGGATCAAAAGTGGTTTTGCTCAGTTGGTAGAGGAAATGAAACGTGAATGTACAGGGGCGAATGATTATTTAGGATTTACTTTGAAAAGTTTGAATTTAAAGAATAAGGAACCTGGATACGTTGCTTTTAGACCATCAGAGGAGGTGAATGATGATGTTTTGTGGACTATATTTGGGGGTATTATACAAAGTAATGAAGAGTCTGTTACATCTAGTGATACATTTATAGTGGAGTGTACTAAAGTTAGTCTACCTGTAGGATCTGGGGGTCATAAAAGATCAGGTTTCTATAACAATTTTTCAGAAGAGTGTCGTAGTAGAATTGGAATTGTTACAATTAAAAACATAGATAACCTGTGTTTAGCTCGAGCTTTGGTAGTTGGAAAGGCTCATGCTAAAAATGATCCTCTTTACAAAGCAATCAAACAGGATAAGGGTAAAAGACAGACGTTGCGAGCTGAAAAATTGTTGGCAAAAGCTAGGGTTTCAATACCTTTAGAAGGAGCTGGTATTAGAGAGTTAGAAAAGTTACAGTCTCATCTAAAAAAATACAAAATAACTGTTTATAACTACAACACAAGAGGTAGAGAGACCTATTTTAGTGGTGACAATGCTGATGCAAAACTAAAAATCAACCTTCTTTTTAATGAAGGTCATTTTAATGTTATAACTAGTTTAACATCAGCATTTGCCTGTAAATACTATTGTGAGGCTTGTCATATTGGGTATGAAAAGCAAAATGAACATAGATGTTCATCATTGTGTTCAGCCTGTATGGTAACTTCACCGCCCTGCAAACTGGAACATGATGGTATTACTTGTCCTGACTGTAACCGTCATTTTAAAAATCAAACCTGTTTTATTGCTCACCAAAAAAACATTTGTTCATCCGTAAAGAAGTGTGGGGAATGTAACCGGATTGTAAGACCCAAGGGTAGAAAACAGATCCATGTGTGTGGAGAACAGTTTTGTAAAGTCTGTTTAAAATATACTGATCCAAACCACAAATGTTATATGAGAGTAGATTCAAGTAGACCTAATGCAAAGAGCTTTTTATTTATATTTTTTGACTTTGAAACTCGTCAAGATGAAAACATTCAAGATGATCCAGAGAAAAAACTTCATGTTGTAAATCTTTGTGTTAGCCAACAGTATTGCTGGCAATGTATATCAAATGATGATGACATTCACTGTGAAAACTGTATGATCCGTCAAAGAGTGTTCAATGTGAATCCTGTAGAAATGTTCATGAACTATGTAATGGAGGCAAAAAAAGAAATTCAAATCTGTTTGTGTAATTGCGCACAATGGGCAGGGCTTTGATTTTCAATTTCTGTTAAAGTATGTGTACAATGAGACAAAACACAGTCCAAAATTGATTTCAAGAGGGACAAAAATCATCCTAATGGAAGTCGATAATGTAAGATTTATTGACTCTATTAACTATTTCCCTATGGCATTAGCAAACCTCCCAAAATCATTCGATCTTGGCCCTGAAAAAAAGAAGGGATACTTCCCACATCTTTTCAATACTTTGAGCCACCAAAACTATGTCGGACCTATCCCTGACAAAAAGTATTACTGTCCAGACTCTATGTTTACAAAAGGGTATGAAAAGTTTATAGAATGGCATAATGAGCAGGTTGTAAATAACTACACCTTTGATTTTCAAAAAGAAATCCTAGAATATTGCATTTCAGACGTGGACATCCTGGCTCAAGCCTGTATTAAATTTAGGACGATGTTTTTAAAAGAATGTAACGTAGATCCATTTTTGGAAGCAGTCACTATAGCAAGTGCTTGCAACTTAGCATTTAGAAGAAACTTCCTCAAGCCAGACACCATAGGTATTATTCCTATAGGTGGTTATCGTCTTGCCGATAACCAATCTGCAAAGGCTCTACAGTGGTTGGCTTTGGAAGAGGACAAAAGAAATGTGAGGATTCAACATGCTGGCAACAGTCGAGAATTTAAAATTCCAGGCATTGGAAAGGTTGACGGGTTTGATGGAGAAATAGTTTATGAATTTTATGGTTGCTATTTCCATGGATGTCCGAAATGTTTTCCATATAAAAGAAAAGAACCTCTTCAAGATGATCTATCAGACAGTTTACACTTGCGGTACGAAAGAACCATAGAAAGAACAGGAAGGATACGACAGCAGTTTGATGTAATAGATATGTGGGAGTGTGAATTTGATGATTTGAAGAAGAGAAATAAATTGCAATATCTTAACAATATCCCGATTCTAAACACAATCCCACTAAACCCGAGGGATGCTTTTTATGGGGGCCGAACCGGAAACTCAAAGACATACTATAAGTGTAAGAAGGAAGAAGGAGAACAGATATTCTACGTAGACATTTGTTCTCTCTATCCTTGGGTCTGCAAATACGGTATGTTTCCTGTAGGACATCCTACGATATTTGTTGGTAATGAAGAATGTCTAAAGAGAGGAATGGAAGCTGAAGGACTTCTTAAATGTAAAATTCTACCCCCTACAAATCTTTATCATCCTGTATTACCGGTGAAAATGAATGATAAATTAATGTTTGTCTTGTGTCGTGTGTGTGGAGAGAACTTGTCATCTTCTGGAGAGTGTCACCATGGAGTGGAAGAGAGAGCTTTGGTAGGAACATGGACTATGATGGAAATAAGAAAAGCTGTGGAGAAAGGCTACGTAATTCTAGAGCGATATGAGTTGTGGCAATATGAAATGGCTACTTTTGAAAATGGAGGTTTATTTACAGAATTCATCGACAAGTTTTTAAAAACCAAGCAAGAAGCTTCAGGTTATCCCGACTGGTGTAAAACAGAAGAGGAAAAACAACGATACATAAAAGACTACTTTGACCATGAAGGAATTTCATTAGATTCTGACAAAATCGAGAAAAATGAAGGGATGCGCTCACTTTCTAAACTTATGCTCAACTCATTTGGGGCAAGTTTGGACAGAGGCAAAACCAGACCAAAACGTTAGTGACTAGGGATCCTAAGGAATTGTTCAACCTCCTAGTTAGTCCAGTAGACCAGGTAAACAGAATTAAAGAGATCAATGAAGAAGTTGTCGTTGTAAATTGGCAGCATTTAGAAGAAGTTGGCGAATGCTTAAGAACTGTCAATGTGGTCTTAGCAGCTTTCACTACAAGTCAAGCCAAACTAAAACTATATGAACACCTTGAGAAACTAGGAAACCAAGTGTGCTATTATGATACAGACTCAGTTATCTACGTTTATAGACCAGGATTATATAAAATACCTGTTGGAGACTACCTAGGGGACATGACTGATGAGTTAGCTAAAGATTATGGACCAGGCTCATTTATTGTGGAGTTTTGTTCTGGTGGTCCCAAAACCTATGGATATGTTGTTTATTCCCCAGTAACAAATGAGTATAGAGAAGTTTGCAAAATCAAAGGTATCACCCTAAATTTGTCTGCTAGTAGAAAATTGAACTTTTCATCCCTAAAAGCTATGATTTTAAGTGAAACCAGTGAATCAGTACCAATTATAGAAAGTAGAATTAGAAGAACAGAGAGTAGAGATGTGGTAACAATTGTGGAGAAAAAGGATTTCAAAATAACAGGTCCTAAGAGAAAACACGATGGTGATCATGACACTTTACCATATGGATACAAAAAACAATGTAAGACTCCATAAGCGGGGCATGAGAACACACAAATTTATCATTCATTTTCAACGGTCATGTTTTAAGATGCAAGTGGACAATGTAATGTAAAAATAGTTATTGTAGTCAAATATAGGTAAACAAAATTATTATTTAGTATCTTTAGAGATTTTGGTGAGTGTAATTACATGTTAGGACAGTGTTAAGTGTTTTAAAATGATATTCTGTAATATTAATGATTCAATAGAAAAGATTTTTATACTAATATTATTTCTTGCAAGTATGAGTTTTATCTACATTATGAGAATCACTGAATTAGATATGATACATAAATTATGTAATACAGAATAATATGGTCATTTTCACAATGGAAGCTAGACTGGCAATTGCTGATGAACTACATAGGCCTGCTAGAAAAAATTACCTCAGACGTAAAGTTACTCTTAAGGGCCTCAACGATTTATATCAAGCAGATTTAGTGGAAATGCAACCATATTCTAAAATTAACAAAGGCTATAAGTATATAATGACTATGATCAATTGTTTTTCCAAGTTTGCTTTTGCAGTACCACTAAAAAGTAAATCTGGTATAGAGGTGGCTAAAGCTTTAGAACCAATTTTAGCTAAAAATAAAATGAAAAACTTTCAAACAGACCAAGGTACAGAGTGGTTTAATAAACATGTAAATAAACTTATGAATATGTATAAAATTAATCATTATCATACATACTCTGAATTAAAAGCTAGTATTGTTGAAAGATTAAATCGAACTTTAAAGTCAAAAATGTACAAGTTATTTACAGCAAGAGGAAGTTATGAATGGGTAAGCATATTAGATCATATTACTAGTTCCTATAATAATACAAAACATCGGACCATTGGTATGAAGCCAAAAGAAGTGAAGAAAAAACATGAAAAACAAATATTAAACAGAATAAATGAAGCAGCAAATCCAAAAAAGGTATACAAATTTAAAGTAGGGGACAGTGTTAGAATTAGTAAGGCGAAAAGAATGTTTAAAAAAGGATATTTACCAAATTGGACAAACGAGATATTTAGAATACATGCTGTCAAACCAACTAGACCAATCACTTATATTCTGCAAGATCATAAAGGAGAAATATTAAAAGGTGGGTTTTATACAGAGGAAATTAGTAAGTCCAAGACTGGAGATGTATATTTAGTGGAAAAGATTTTGAAACGAAAGGGTAATAAGCTCTTAGTTCGTTGGGCAGGGCACGATAAAAATAGTGATAGCTGGGGTCATTCTGATGACCTGCGACTGTGATCTGTTGTTATTTTAAGAAATAGCAAATCCTTATCAAGTATTTATCATACTGTCAGCACATTTGAGTAATCAGTCAGTATGCGGCTTAAGAAACAGAATGTTCATTTAACCGTGCAGAACTTTGACCAGTTTATCGGTACAGGATGTGTAAAGAGGAACAAACATGGGGATTTATTACCAAACTCTATTCGTTGCATAATTTGTGGACCTAGCTCTTCAGGGAAAACAAATATTCTATTTAATTTAATTTTTGATAAAAACGGTGTTAGGTTTAAAAACATTTATGTTTTTTCAAAATCTCTATATCAACCAAAATATGAGTTTTTAAAGAAAGCTATGCCTAAGGAAATTGGTTATTTTGCTTACGACGATAACAGTTTAGTCATTCCCCCGAATGAGGCTGAGCCGGATTCTATCATGATATTTGATGATATATCTTGTGAAAAACAATAACATTCGTAGCTACTTTACCATGGGTAGGCATAATGACATTGATACATTTTATTTAGGACAAACATACAGTGCTATACCAAAACAGCTCATTAGAGACAATTGTAATTTTCTCATACTGTTTAAACAAGATGAAATGAATTTGAGACATGTGTATGGTGATCATGTGACTACTGACATGTCTTTTGAAAAATTCAAAGAGCTGTGTGCAAAGGCATGGGAAGACAAATATGGGTTTTTAGTCATTGACAAAAGTCAGGATCAATATAATGGACGATACAGGATTGGTCTTAGTAGTTTTATAACGGCTTTCTAATGGTGCGCATTTATACTTACAATGATATAAAGGGTTTCGATGTAAAGCTTCATAATGTTAAATCAAATTTATGTACATTTTATTACAAAGATAAAGGTAAATTTTGTGGCAACTATTGTAGTAGAAGCCCTCCACATGGTTTTCAGTTTAACAAGAGATGTTGGAGACATAAAAGACCTAAAAGCTCAACAATTATACCACCTGTAATACTTCTTATGATCTCAGCAAGTGAGAGGACTTATAATAGGGATGCTTGGTTAAACTTTGTATACCGTTGTCAAAAGAAGAATGTTCCATTGGAACTAGTGATGTATCATGAAGATATGAACAACTGTACGGTAAGAAACCCGCAAAACCTCATTTCTAGGTTCAGACCTTTTCCTGATATATTTGGACCGACCCTACCCCTGCGAGATCTACACGGAAGCGTTAATTTTTCACAAGTCGTGTTTAGAATGTTAGAATATGGATGTTTGATACCGAATGCTAGTAGATGTATAGTTTTGACAGAAAGAACAATACCGATAAGGTCACCTTTAAAGATTTATCAAACCGCTATGTCTTTAAAGTGTTATATAAATATAAGTTATAATGTTGCCTATGATGTTGTCCCAGACGGCATTCCTCCTCAACCTAGGGGTAAACCATTCAGTGGTGTTAATAATCTCTGTCAAGGGTTGTATACTGTAGATTTCTTAAGAGAAGCTTTACCTACAGTTGCCTTAAATTGTGAAAAATTCGGAATCAGTTTGAATAATTGTGTGTATTCTGTAACAAATTCAAAATTACTCGAACAGTGGAAAAGGTTTACAGGGGCAAATCCATGCGAGTTTTGGCTTTATTACAGAACATTAACAAACACAGACCAATTGATACGCTCAAGAGGTTTATGACGACAGCAGTAGAAAAAGATGTGTACATAGTATCAGAAATCCCTCAGTGGAGAGATGATTGGAAAAGGACATTTATATTTAAAAGTCTTATACGACCGTATGTGATACCACGTTTTGATTTTAGAGTACAGAATTATTATAACGGACTGGACTTTAGTTATGGAATCTCCTTAATAGATGTAATACATTTCATACGAAAACACAAAAAGCGTGCAATGTTCTTTAGACAGGTGGAATTACCTTAAATTCTCAAAGTAAAACTCAAACTTTTAGTTTTCACTATGGAACCTAAGAGTAAACAACTTACTGCCAAACTTATTGAGTTGCGTAAAGCTATTAAACACAAGTATAAGATGTTCAAAGAAGGAGCTGAAGAAAGTGATATATTACTTGAAAAGCAATACAAACCGATCATACAAGAGCTAAGAAAAACACCACAAAACGTCACCGATATAAAAACGGAGCAACCAACTATTAAGGAGGAACATGTGTACGACGACGACAAAGGACAATCGTTAAATTATTATTCTACTGATGACGACGAGGAGGAGGAGGGGGAGACTGAAAGGTTCTCCCCCGACACCATGTCAACACCTAAAGGTAAAGATTTGTCAGTGCTAGTGTCCACACCTCAACAACAAGCGTCAACAACTCAGTTTATTGAGACATACTTTAAGAATCCCATTACACAGCATTATATGGATATGTATCTAAGAGATGCTGGTGGAAATAAAAAGACCATAGACTAAGTTTATGGACCTCAGTTTTTAGATGGTGAAAAGTTGATGGTAGGTGGAAAAGAATTAGATTTTGATAGTGAGGGAAATATAAAAATAGGTGGTATAAACTATGGAGCATCTGAAGGTCTTTATGAATTACTTTTCAAAAGACTACCAGATAGTAATACATACACGAATGAAGATTTAAATAAATACAAAAGTATACTATTTGATACAAATGCTCATAGAGACGGTTTCAGGCATAACGGTAAAATTAAATCAAGTAGAGGGCAAAAATATATCAGAATTATCCAAAAACTATTTCCCAGTCGTGGTAAGGGTATGGCGTGGAAGAATACAAAACACCACGATGTGTTATATTGGGACGATCCAAACGAGTTGGTGGAGCGATTTGAACACATAGCTATGTCCACAGAAACTGGAAACAAAGTGCATGCGAATGAAATTATTAGTATTGTGGAAGAGTTGAAAGAGGCCGGCTTTATAAAGGGTTTTGGTAATAGTAGATTCAAGGCATTGTTAAAATGACGATTGACAAGTTTGGACGCAGCTCAAAGTCCTCGGAAAAAAATGTCAAAGGACCTAAAGGCGATGGATTTGATATGACAGCTGATAGGCACTACGATATAAAGAGCAAGCGCCTAACTAACATTGGGGAGGCTGTA